GTGGGCCTGACAGGATGCATCCTCCTTCACCAGCGGTGGGCCTGACAGTCAGTGATGAGTGAGCCATTGTCACGGGTCAGGCACATTATCTCCTTGTGAGATGGGTGCAGCCGCTCCCACTTTGCAGATGAAGAAACTGAGGCCCAGTGAGTTTTCAGTTGCCCAGAGTCCCACTGTGCGGCACCTGGCAGAGCCAGGCCAAGTCCAGGGCTTCCGGGCCCCAGGGGAGTCTAAGATGGCACCCAGGGAGGGAGGAAGAGGCAGTGTGTGCTCTGGGCTGTGACCAGGGCAGTGTTCCGGTGGATGCAAGGCCTGCAAGGGCAGAGGACCCAGGGAGCAGGCTGCCCAGGGAGGTGGCTAAGATTTGGCTGTAGATGGGGAAGAAGCACCACCTTCCAGGGGATTAGAGACGTTTTAGAGGGATGGGGGAGAGAGGGAAAGGGTACCAGGGGCCTCAGGGCCCTGCTGAGTGCCCACTTGACCCGCTCCCTGCAGCAATACTTCATCCTCCTCATCATCACGGACGGTGTCATTAGCGACATGGAGGAGACTCGGCACGCCGTGGTGCAGGCTTCCAAGCTGCCAATGTCCATCATCATTGTGGGTGTGGGCAACGCTGACTTCACAGCCATGGAGTTCCTGGACGGGGACAGCCGCATGCTGCGCTCCCACACGGGTGAGGAGGCAGCCCGCGATATTGTGCAGTTTGTGCCCTTTCGAGAGTTCCGCAACGTGAGTATGGGCCAGGATGGGCAGGGGGCGGGGTCAAAGGGACGGGACGTTCACGACTGACACAGGGACAAGGAAAGACCCCACCCACCAGAGCTGACAGTCAAGGATGGAAGTCTCAGGATTGTCTGGTCCACTCCTAGCCTCTTCTACCCTCAGCTCCCCTAATCATGCTCCCTGAGGCCCACTCTGTGCCAAGTGTGGGCCAGGCCTGTTCCCAACAATGGCGTCTGGGGATGCCAGTATGATCGTGTGAGCACTTGCTTCAGCAAGCTGGTGGAACACAGGAGAGCAGAGCCCTCTGACTGGGATTCTAAATGATAACTAGGAGTTATCCATGTGGGGAAGAGCGATCCAGGCAGCAGGAGGGGTGAGGGCAAAGGCCCAGAGGTGAGAGGCTTTTCTGGAGATCACACCACATCCAGCCTCCTCACTTTACACATGGAACCCAGGCCCATCTTAGGGTGGCTTCCTCTCCCCAAGACCAGCGTGTCTCACTTTGCACAGAGGGCCTCCGTGGGGGACTGGTGGCCTTTGCAGGACGTGGCTCTGGTCTTATTTGCAGTTGACCCAGGTCTGCCCACAAGGAAGGTGGGGTGAGTGGTTGCTGTCCTGGCACAGCCTCCCACGAGGAGCCCCCGAGGGCAGCACAGTCGCTCAGATGCCACCCCTCTAATGCCTGCCTAAGCCTAACCCTTATGTGGCCAAAGATGTGATCTTGAGCAAGTCCCTGATCTTGGGCCTTGGTTCCCTCAGCTGTCAGGGTTGCTCAGGTGGCTCAAATTCTGGGAGCCAGTACCAGTGAGAAGTGACCCCACTGTTTTGTACCCAGTGGTCCTCACAGCTCTGCCCATGACCCTCTGGGTGTGCCTCCTTCCTCTAGAGCATTAGCTTCCTGGGGACAAATGCTGGGCACCAGTTACCCTTTCATGCACGGGACATGTACTGTGCAGCTCTGCATCACCACCCATTTACACTGGGCAAGGAGATGCTCAGTAAACGTTTGCCAAATGAGTGGGCGCTGTAGCTCGCCTCCACTGTCTTTCCTGAAAAGCCTCCCACAGACACATCCATCCTACAGTGTTACTCTCAGGCATCTCAAGTGCTCAAGTTAAAAGTTACACTTAACCGCAAGGAAAGCACTGCTAATGGTGGGATTTCAGGCAAGGACTGGATGAGGGCTGCTTGTTTTAGACAGCCTGACCCTCAGCCCTGATCTTGTCCTCCAAGGACACCTTCTGGAGCAGCTCCCTGGGCATGGTGCCCCTCACAAGTTCCGACCATTAATCCTTATTTTCTCCCCTCTCCATCCCATGTCACCCCTGCAGGCGGCAAAAGAGACGTTGGCCAAAGCCGTGCTGGCGGAGCTGCCCCAACAAGTTGTGCAGTATTTCAAGCATAAAAACCTGCCCCCCACCAACTCAGAGCTCGCCTGAGCGCCAGCCCGCACCCAGCAGCAGCATGCCGCCTGAGCCACCCTCCCTCCCCCAGGAACATGCACGCTCACCCTGCTTCCTCGTGGGTGGCCTTTTTTTACCGATCTACATTTTTATTTTTTACAAACGGACCTCCGCCCCCGACTTGCCCCAGCCCAGCTGGACTGATGATGCTTCCAGGCCAGACTGGCTTCCTCTCTTCTCCCTGCCCTGCCATTCTTAAGTATTGAATGTACTTTGTATAATTTTAGTGGAATTATTATTGTTATTAAAGAGAATAAAATTTTTACAGTCATAACTGGCTTTTTCCAAGTAACTAGCTGCAGACTCCGAAAAGACGGTGTCCCTGGTGCATACGCTGTATTGTAGCCTGCACCTCCCTGCTGCTCTGGTTTTTTATAGTGTGACCATGTTCTATTTGTTATACTCAGGGTAATAAAGGCATTTCAGATGTCCCTGTTTCAGCTCTTTCCTCAGCTGGGACCCAACGGGGTTTACTGATCTGGGGAAGACTGGGAAAGGAAACAAAGCATGAAAACCCCTTCCGCCAGCCAGCCTGTGAGGTGGATGTCATCACTTCTGCTTGGGGACTGCAATCCACAGTAACAGTAAAACCTGCATAGAACCTGGCGCACTGTACATGCCCATTGGAATGCAGTGGCCCCCGCCAACATTTATAGGTCTCCTGGGCCCCTGCAGAGTCCACATTAGTGTTTCTGGGAGGCCCCAAATACTGACCCCAGGGGACTCAGGCCCAGCCGACACCTCATGGTCCCTACTCTCCTCCTCTTGGTCCACACTCTGTCCTATGCCACCCCAAAGGACAGCAGTTGCCACCACCATTTGCTCATCCAGGTCTCATAGGCATCAGGGTATTCCCTGTGGTCTGCAGTGTGTGGAAGCCTCTTTGGCCTTGGAATCCTAAGCAGCGCTGCTTTGGTCCCACACCTCCTGAATCTCTGCTGACAGCATCGCATTGGTTTCTACCTTTTCTCCCTCTCCGGATGCAGGTCCAACATCATGAAACCAGCCAGAGAACCAATCTGAAACACCAGCAATCTTCCCAGTTCCCTCCTTCCTTCCATGTAACACCTCCTTCTCTCTTTATCCACCTCCGGCTAGGAGTTCCAGTCAGCCCATTTAGCTTATGTGTGACCAATAACAACTGACATTTATATGAAGAACTGCTTCTGGCACTGCATTAAGTGCTTTATATGCATGATCCTGATGAGCCCTCCCATAGCCCCTTATGACCATTCGGAGATGAGAAAACAAGCACAGAGAAGCTAATCAAGTTGGGGGCAGAGCCAGAATTCATATTCAGGTCTGGCAGACTCCAGAGCCCACACTTGTTCCACTGCATCTCTTGGCTTTGCTCGAGCTGCTAATGGATTTGCCATTTCTTTCCACCGGAACTGGGAAGTCAGTTATCTCGACCCCCTCTCCCAGACCAGCACATCACTGGCCTGCTACAACTGGGCAGCAAGCCAGGCAGGTCCTACATCAGGGTGCCTGGTGAGCTCAGGAGTCAGTGTTTATCTGGTGGGAGGATCAACGTGAGGGACCTCTTCAACCTAAGCTTCCAATGCCTCTGCTGATCCTGTGGCCAAGAGTCAGCAGAAATATCCTTCAGGGCCACCTTCTCTTCTAAGGAGAGGCATGCAGGATGGCCGTGATTTGTGGAGGGTCCTTCAGAAGAGCACAGCGCACTGACCCAGGGGCCAGCCTTGCAACGTGAGTGGAATCTCAGAAGCAACACATCTGGCTCATTTGCTTCAATGCCAAGCCCTTGCTCAGGCCAGCTGCAAGACTGGGTATTAGTCAAAACATCAGCGTAAGACTGCTCGTTTACCCTTGCATTCTGTAGTTCAAGTGAGTCTAGCTGGGTGTCACACCCAAGCAATTTTATACTCACCACAGCATGGGAAAAATCTGTGAAGTTCTGATTCACTACAAAAACAAACCAAACCCACCGCCATCGAGTTGATTCCGACTCACAGCAACTCTACAGGACAGAGTAGAACTGCCCCATAGGGTTTCCAAAGCTGTAAATCTTTATGGAAGCAGACTGACACATCATTCTCCTGTGGAGCGGCTGGCGGTTTCAAACTGCTGACCTTTTGGTGAGTGCTTAACGACTGCGCCACCAGGGCTCCTTTCTGATTCACTAACCAAAACTCATTGCCATCGAATAGACTCCAACTCATAGCGACCCTACAGGACAGAGCACAACTGCCCCATAGGGTTTCCAAGGAGTGGCTGGTGGATTCAAACTGCCAACCTTTTGGTTAGCAGCCGAGCTCCTAACCACTGCACTACCAGGGCTCCTAGAGGCCCCTAAATAAAGGAGGAGCCTTCTCCCAGCCCCACATTCCCTCCTTAGCCCTCAAGGGACTAAAAGGAAAATCAAGGTAACCACTTCTCATGCAGACCTCTCTCCACCTCTGCCTATGGGAGTAAACTTTCCAGATTGATGAAACTGGGGATACTGACATCTACCGGGCTATGTTAAGGCAGGGTCCCTACTTTGCATCAGGGGTCCATCCCAAATGTTTGTACTCTTGTGGACAACCTACTTCAGGTGTGGTGGCCTTGGCCCCCAATTCCAGGCTTCACATGGTGAACAGACCTAGCCATCTCTGTTCTCTCTGTCCCTCCTCCTCTGCCTGAGACTGAGTGGGCCAGTCGTAGGCCCTTTACTCCCTGCTGGCTTCAATTCACAGGGGAAAGGAGTGTGTGCCTCAGGACCAATTCAGCTTTACTAGGGAGCTCTCTACTCTGAGAAATAAAGCTGATATTTGGCCATCTTTCTTTATGCCTGTTCACATCTGTTAAAAGTTCAGAAGGGTACAGAGGTAAGAGATTGGCAACCCCCTAAAGTCCCAGCAAGGCCAAATCTACCACTTGAAAAACAAAAGTCCACATCTGGGATATGTTTGGTGCTGCCACTTTGTTCTTGCAGATGGATGGGAGGCTGAAAAGTGAACTGGGAAATCTGACTAGAAAGATTCCTTCACCCTTGAATCCCGCCACTGTGGCCTCTGGCGCTGGTATTTGTTTAAGAGTTTCATGGACACCACAGAAAGCCAGTAGCGTTAAAGGCTCAAATGCAAATTCTGGTTCTGTCACCTGGTTGTGCAACCTCTGGCAAGTCACTGAATCACTATGAATTTTAGTTTCCTCTATGAAATGAAGAGAAGAGCTGCTTCCCAGGACTTCTTTCAGAAGGAAATAAACAAAAGCCCAAACTAATACTCAGCAAATGGCCCCAACAGTGCCTGGCACTTCCATAGCAGGCCCTCTGTATATACTGAATGAAGGAAACAAATTGATGCAAGGAGTAAAGCTCAGGGACGAGGGTTGTCTCTCTGGGTTTTTCTCCCTCTCTCGTCTGCAAAGCTCCGATGCTGAAGTCAGTCTGCCCGTTGTTGCTGTGAATCAAACCTCCCTCTGTCCCTAACCAGTGCTCCAGCAGGTAAGGGAACAGAATGCCAGTCACTAAGTTATGAATGTGCAACTGGCTTCTTGTGTTTAACCTGTGACTACACAAGTGTTGCCAAGATTCTAGCCTCCCACTGAGCAGAACTTGCATTCCATGATGTTATGCGTAAGTGGGCTGGGCACGCCAGGAGATGAAGTCCAAATTATTGTGCATTGCCACTGAGCTCTCCTTGTTTTTCTGGAGGGGCTTAAGACAACAGCTGAGCTGCATACCCACGGTTAGGACACCCGAGCCAAGGAACCGGGTGTGCCTAACCAATTAACATTTAGCTAAGCAGGAAGCATACAGCAGAAGCTGGTGGTTGGAGCTTTGACGACCAAATCTGACCCTTCATCATGTCACTGTTTGAGCTGCAACTGAGGAATACCAGTAGGATTTCATAAGCCACCACTAACGGCAGCTCTGGACACCCTACCGAGAAACAGTGAGGCCTGATGCTTACTAATGAGCATGGCTACCATTTACTGGCACATACCACGCCAAGCACCAATAATCTAGATTATTTTTTACCTCACTAGGAAGCTGGTATTGTTATTCCTATTTTCTGAGGAAGAAACTGAGGCCCAGAGAGGTTAAGGACCTTGCTCAAGTGATACAGCTAGTAAATGTCTGGCTCCAAGCTCATAACCACTATGGCAGATCCATGGAAGGTGGAACTGGGCTGAGTTCCCGGGGAGGAGAAGCCAAAGCAGTGGGAAGGTCTTGAGAAATAAAGCTTCTCTCTTGGGTGGAAAGAAGGTAGCAAGAAATTCTTAAGAGCTGGAGAGTCAAAGAAATGAGGACAAAAGGGACTAGCCAAGGAGTACCTACTTAAGGGCTCCTCTCAGTTTAGAATATTCCAGAAAAATAGCTGAAGTTCCCCATTCCCTGAACTAGAGGAGCCAGCTTCCTTTCCTTCTGGGACCTGGAGTCCAGGAAAGGCACACATAAACAGGAAACTAGTCACCTCCTTGGGTCCGGTCACATCAGCCTCTCTGATTTTAATAGATGGAAGAATGAATGCTTTGAACGTCATGCTCCCTTTCTCCTCACCCCAGCAGATGACAGGGCCAAAGGGAGATGGCTAGCAGGAAGCAGCTTGAAATCATAGGTGACGCAAGCTGGATACTTCACCGCAGCAGAGCTGGCAATAGGACTCTTTACACACTAGCTCTCTCTAGCATGGTTCAAGCGTTGTAAGAATACTACCACTCAGGATAACATAAGCAGGTTTAAAGAAACCCATCCCAGACTTTGTTTTTATCCTTTATTACCTAGTTATAAAATCCTAATTGTGTATTAAGGTAGGAGTGCTATATTTTATGGTTTAAGGTAGTGTTTCCTTCTATCCTTGTTCTTCTCTTCTTTGGATTTGAACCACCAGGTCTACATTGGATACTTTCCAAGGCTGCTTCATCTCTTGGTCAGAGCAGATCCTGCTTTGCTATTAATGGTTTCTACAGAAACTGTTCCATTCGAGGGCTCTACATTAATGGATACAATAGTATACTATGAAATAATTACCAGTGATTTTCAATCTCTCCCAAGACACCAAGAACAGAAAGCTCAGCCTGAAGAGTCTCAACCTTCTCAACACAATCTAGATGCTTTAGAAGATGGAGAGAGAGTTGGAAGCACAAGATTCAGTATAGGAAAAACAAGACCTTGTTCTCTGACAGGTTTACTAGCTTTCAAGTTAACGTATGTTTTTAATCCCTGCAGCCCTTTGTCAAATTCTTCCAGCATCAACGGTGGCCAGGAGGTATAGTGATGGCCTCTTAAAAGTCAAACCACATAAAGATGGTGACTTTGATTACTTGGCCGGCCTCCTGAAATGATCTGAGGTTGCTTTGGTACATGCTGTAATAATGACAGCACAATCACAGGAACAATGAGGCAGAGCAGCAGAAGGTGCCTACACAGTTTTACCTAAACATCTTGTTTGTTGGGATGGAGATGACACGCCTGTACTGACAGTCAGGAACAATTAGCACAGAGTAGTTCTGAAAAGGAAGAAGAATTCACAAGGCATCACTTAATGGGTGAAGGGAAGTCACCATCTGCAAACGGGCACCAGAGTGTTACTGCATTGGAAGGGGAAAAGGAATAGGTTAGATGAGATCCAGGGGCCTCTATGCCCGTGTTAAAACTGAGCAGCTTCTCTGCCTGCCAGCATCACAGTGTCCACACATTCTGTGTGTGTCTCTCTCAGTCTCACACCCAAGGAAGTAGAAACAATTGATGTAGAAACCAGGGAAAGAAAAGAATGGTACAGTTTCATTTTCCTGAAGAAGGGGGAGTCTACAGATTTGTTTTTAAGTCTATGCCTACGTCCGTCCTTGAGGCCTCCATGCCCTCTCTCTCTCCTCCCTTACAATCAGAGGATGAGCCCCTGCATCCCTGTAGGACTAGACAAGGAGGTGGAGCAGTACCTCTAGGTCTCGCTGCTCACAGCCTCAGAGCTACCCTGTGTAGGAAGGGAACAGAGCAGTAGGGCAGCAGATAAGAGCAGTGAAAAGGACTAGGACAGCACCTTTAGGCTAGAAATAGGTTCGTCCATAGTGAAAAGCTCCAACTATAATATGTACCAAACAGAGAAGGGCCTGGACAGAGTACGGAGTAGAGTACACTCAGAATATGCAAGTGTTTCCCACTGATTTGCAATATTAGGATTCCAAGAGCTGCCATAAATAAGTCATCTTGTCAACATATTCACCAGCAGTTCTGACTTCTGGCCATGATTAAATAAGGCCTATTTTTTTTTTCTAAAGTTTAGAGTCTTAAACTAAATCTTTTATTTAAAAAAAAAAAAAAATTTACAAGGTGGAGAAAAGGTCTGAGTAGAGATGGAAGTTGTCTTGTTACGTGTCCTTTCTCTATCAGCCCACATCAATGCGAGTAGAGGGAGGGAAGAGGAGAAGGGATGGCTGAGAGTGAGGAAAAATGTCACAATAATGGATGAACATTAAAGTGGCACCCCCTGCAGATGTAGTTCATCAGCTTTACGCAAATAACCTTCATAACCTTCTACGCTTGTTTGCCAACCACATCCTCCTCCCACTGTGCTAATTTTTTCCCCCCCAGCAACATAAAAAAGACCATTGACATAGCGGTGCTTATGAAAATACTTCCCAGGGAGGAGGGGACAGTTGGTGAACAAACGTAGAAGGTATGCGTTATTTGCATAATACGGTAGTCACACAACATCAAGAATTGGTTAGTTCCTGGGGAGTGCTCCATTTTATCACTTGGGTCAGTTCTTGTCCCCCGCATGCTCCACAATGCCAGTGTAACCAAACGACATGTTCATCTGTAATAGAATGTTTAAATAATACCTGCCCAGTAATTTTCCTTGCCTTTTTGTGCTACTGGGAAAAGAAAAAAAACAAGAAAGCAATAAAACTCAAACCCTCAGCAAGCTAGCTGGTGCCTCCGATTCCAGGGCATTTTTAGTGGGGTTTCTGCTGTGCCCTGCCCTCACCCTGCCACATCAGTGAGGGAAGAGGTAGCGGGACAGGTTTAGCCATCTGCACTGGAGTGGTAAGAGAAACCAAACACAAATCTGGGCCACAAGTGGATACCATTACATTTTCAGATTAGGTTAGAGATGTCATGGTATGAACAGGAAGCAGGCAAAGGAGTTTTTTTGAGGGAGGTAATGCCTGTAGGCAGAATAAACCGTCCAATCTACTCTTGGGGAGGAGTCCCATGTGGTCAGGACAGAGGAGCTAGGGGGCCTCGAGGAAGGTGTTGGTTCGGAAGATGGAGGAGACGATCTTCCCTGTGGCGTTGATGGTGCCTTCACTGTCTGAGCTGGACTCCGAGTCGCTGCTCCCAGAGTAGGCGCCCAAGCCTGGGAGGATGCCAATACAGACTGCAGCAGAGGGACAGTGGATGGAGGGGCCACTCAGGGAAGTGCTTCCAAGAGACATACAGGATGGGGCCTCTGCAAAAAAGGAGGAAGGACTTTTATATCATCACCGTTTCAGTATGTATGGTGTACTTACCATGTGCCAAGCCCTGTGCTAATGCCTTTAACCCGCAGAAGCCTCACAACAACTCTATGTAGTCAATACTACTGTCACCCTCATTTTACAGACTGGGAAATGGGGGGAGAATTCAGACTCCCGGAGGTGAAATGACTTACTCAAGGTAAAGAGGCAAAGCTAGGACTTAAACCAAGGTCTACTACACTCTCTTGCTTGCCATCACCTCTGAGATGGAAGATAAACTACCTTGGAGTATAGCCTATCACAGTTTGACTTCCCTTACCCAAACAGTCACGGTATTTCAAGGGAAACTCATATCTAACACCATTCCTTACCCACTCCCAAAGCAGGTAACAGACACAGGGAGATAAAAGGGCTTCCACATGCTCAACAGCAGGGACAAAGCCACATTACGAGAAACATTGTGAGCAATATTAACAATCCTGCTCTATTCAATTCTCAGCACATTACACCATTCTGGACTTACTGACCAGCATGTCAGCTAGCATGGATACATTGTCAAGGCCAAATGTCAGCCACAGAAGTAACATTCTTTATTAAGAAAAGCCACTTTCCCTGATGGGGGAGATGAGAATTTAGAAAGCAATTTAATACAACCTTTACCTTGCAGTTGTGTTCCTCCTTTACAATTGAGGACGCTGAAGCCATAGTCAGATAACATGTTAAGACAATGCAGAATGGAACCAAGTAGCTGGGGCTCTTTTCTTCCCAGGAAACCCACAGTTACTCTGCCACCCCAATGCCAGAAAGCCTCATTTAGAAAATTCAGGACTTAAAAATTAAGGAAAAGTTAACTCTACTCTGCCCCTCCTTCTTCCCTCTGCATGTTTCCAGCCTCAGTTAATCATTACAACAACCCGATATGGTAGGTATTATTCCCATTTTACTGACAAAGGAGGTTATATGATTTGGCTACAGTTATAGGCCACTTACGAGCAGAAAATGTTAAACTAAGCCTGGATCAAAAGTGAATGTACTAAAATCATACCTGAGTACACTACAAAGGAAGGGCTAGAATTCACATCTCACTGCCTCAGGCCGACAAGCGTAGGACTTTCTAGGGTTTTGCCTTAGATTCCTTAACACCTCACTTATCTGGGCACAACTAACTGTGAAAAGAATACACAAGTCTATGAAATCAAGAGGGGGCAAAAAATATCACCAAGAAGTTAAAAGAGATAGCAAAAGGCCAGTATACAGAGTTTAGGAGCTCAGCGAAGCTACTTATCTTTACAGGAATTTCTAATAAGGGAGAAAAGAGCTGCTAAGATAAGTAACATTAAAACATGGAGACACAGAAAAGTAAAATGAGAGCTGACAGAATAATTGAAGAGATAGTGATAACAAGGCCACAAGAAAGCAGAGGCAAATATTTGCAACAAATATCACAAAAGCTAATTTCTTTAGGATACAAAGAGTTCTTCCAAATCTGTTAACAAAAAAAAAAAACAATAACTGAATGGAAAAGTGGACAGAAGACATGAACGGTTCATAGAAAAAGAAAGATGACTTTTAAACATAGGAAAATAAATTTAGTATATAAGTAGGGAAGGCATGAAGAACAAGCATCTTTATTATGTCACTGAGGGGGTAGAAGGCAATTTGGCAATGTTCTCCAAACTTTTAAATGATGTTCATATGAGAATATTCACTGTAGCATTGTTTACACTAGCTCTGAAAAGACTAGAAATAACCTAAATGTTTACTAATAGAAGGCTGGTCAAATCATGGACAACTATTCAGCCATTAAGAATGAAGCATCTGTGTATGTACTGATATTGAATGAGCTCCAAGAGATTTTGCTAAGTGAAAAAGGCAAGGGGCAGAACAGTGTGTTTAAGTCATAATTTGTGGGGAGAGAAAATGCCTATGTATATGCATGACAATATCTGGAAAAAAAAAAAGAAACTGGTAATAGTGGTGGTCTCTGGGGAAAGGAATTGAGTAGTTTGGGAACAAAGGAGACTTAACTTTTCACTCCACATTCTTGTTCCTTTTGAGTTTTCTATTATATGCATATACTATCTATTCAGACAATTTTTTAAAAAAGGCAAAATGCAAAAGTTCAGAAAGCATCCTGGGCCACTTAAATTAGGAAGGACAGCCCCACATAACTCTATAGTCCCATTGGCATCCCTTAAGGCTAAGAGGCTGCAGAAGACTTGGCAATCAGTGATGACAGCGGTTCCTTGTTTGTGCTCACTGCCTGTAAGCCCCTTGACGGCAAGGGCCCCCGCTCCTTCACCACTGCATCACTAGCACACGTAGCATAGTGCCTCGCACACAGAAGGCCAGTATTCGCAACGTGTAAGAATATAGGAAAATGTGTAAAAGACATTTTACAGAGAATTTCATTACAAATGGCTAATTTTGTGGGGGTGAAAATTTGATGCTCTTTTAAAATTTGGGATATAACATCAAATTTGATCACTTGAACATTCATTATATTTTTAAGTGCTATGTCAAGTGATACTTTCAGTATTGGAAAACTCTGGTTGTTTAAAAACATTGACAGCTAATAAGGGTATGGATCAGTTACTTAGAAAATTAATTTATGTGAAAATTAATTACATACTAATTTATGTAAAATTCACCTTCAAGGGTGAATTTTAGGACCTATCTTAGACAGAAAAGAAGGCTGAAGTCCAGAGTACTTACAGAGGACTAGAGCTGGCCTAGGAGAAGGGATGAAAGCCAGCTACAAAAATGCAACCAAGGAATCTGGACCACTGTGGCATCAGCAGACTTTCAGCCAAAAGACCAAAGCTCCCAATTATCTAGGATGTTTCAAGAAAAGAAGACTGCAATTCTGAGAAATTTCATTCCAAAAGCAGTTAACTGTCCAAAGAACAAAATGGTGCCCTCTGACCTCACCCACTTGGCGAAGTTTCCTGCCAACTTCTGCATTTGCAGGACCACAATGTCATACCAAATTAACACCAAAAATTACTAATAAGAGAGAGTGTTCTTGAGATTCAGACAGATGCGTGACTTGGGAGTAGATTGGACCAACGTGTGCATTCACAGGCTCTGCTCAGAGCTAGAGTCCAGAGCCTTCAGTGGGAGAAGGCTGAATCCTCAATCAGAGCCACAGAACTATCTTCTGGGGGACCAAGGGTACAATCTTTCTACTGCTGAGGGCAAGACTGATGCAAGCTTCAGGGGGCATTATTCTTGTAGGGCCTTAGCTCCTGACAAAGGAAGCTATTTCTTGCCCAGCTTCTGCTGCAAGAATGGAATGGCAGGAGGAAGGTATTTAGAATGACAAAAAAGATGGCTCTGAAACATGAGTCTGTCTGAAGTAGTTTGGAGAAGCCACACAAGTTTTTCTTTCCATTGAGTCATTCAAATATTTCCTAAGAGGGAAGTACCAGCTGAAGGGCTACTAACTGAAACACACATAAGATACCTTTAATACACACACACATTCATACATACACATACACAATATATACAGTCATGTACTGCATTACGTCCATTCAGGCAACGTCCAACCACATATACATCCATGATCCCATAAGGTTATAAAATCCTTTGTTGTCGAGTTGATTCTGATAGCAACCCTACAGGACAGAGTAGAACTGTCCCATAGAGTTTCCAAGGAGTGGCTGGTAGATTCGAACTGCTGACCTTTTGGTTAGCAGCCGTAGCTCTTAACCACTGTGCGACCAGGGAGAGCTCGGCTGCTAACCAAAAGAGCAGCAGTTCGAATCCACCCGCCGCTCCTTGGAAACCCTATGGGAGCAGTTCTACTCTGTCCTATAGGGTCGCTAAGAGTCGGAATCAACTTGACAGCAACAGGTTTTTTGGTTTTGTTTTTTTTTAAGGTTATAATAGAGTTCAGAAATCCTGTTTGGAAAATGGGACATAGCAGATGTAACTGGACATAGTAAACATGACAGCTTCCCACATGCAACACGTGTATCTCAGCGATTGCGCTGCCAGGTGTATGTATAACGGTATAGTACATATATAATCTATAATACATATGTCTTGATAGTCATAATAAACGCCTATGTTACGGGCTTATGTATGTACTGTACTGTACTTTCTATTGTTACTTTAATGTGAACTTTCCCTACTTATAAATAAAAAGTTTACTGTATAGTAGCGTATGCTTCAACTCGTAGGCAGCAGCATTCAATCTTGTGTATCGCGCATCTCGAGTATTGTAGTGTTATTTCTCTGTTTAATTTTCTTTCAAAAATATTACCGTGAAGTGCATCATGACTCCCAAACACAGCAAAACCAGTGCTAGTGATAGCAGCAGTATCTCATATAGCTTTGGTAAGTATATAATATGGTGTTTGCACAATGTCCAAATCATACAACGTCCTACTTCACATAATGTATCGTGGACTTTAGGCGACAGATGACTGTATATTTATCCTGTCTAGGCAGCCACACTTTAAAGTTTCCTATACATTAAAAAGATGTCAGCGAATAGGAATTCCTACATTGCTGATAGGAATGTAAATTGGAATAACTTCTTTGGAGGGCAATTTGGCAATATTTATCTAAATTACAAATGTACATCCTTTCTGACTAACAATTCTAAAAGTATTTAACTTGATATATTTGCACACGTGAAAAATGATGCATGCGTAGAGTTATTTACTGAAACATCAAAATAGGAAAAGAATAGAAATAATCTAAATGTTCATCAATAGAAAATGAGATAAATACACTATGGTACAACCTTACAATAGAATATTAAAACCAACTGTCATCTTGTTGACTCCGACTCATGGCAGCCCCATGTGTGTCAGGGTAGAACTATGATCTATAGAGTTTTCAATGGATGACTTTTTGGGAATAGATCACCAAGCCTTTCTTCCGAGGCACTTAATATATGGATTCAAACTTCAAACCTCAGCTGAGGGTGTTAACCATTTGCACTACCCAGGAACTCCAATGGAATACTATACAGCCTTAAAAAGGAATGAGGAAGCTCTTTAAGTACAGATGTGTGATGACTTCCAAGGCATAATATTAAGTGAATTAAACAATAAACAGAAGAGTACGTTTGATAAAATAATAATAATGATGAAAGGAAGTAAAAAAGCCACCTATGAAGCTTTCTTACCAAAAAAAATCAACTTGAATGGACCAAGCCTCTAGATCTAATTATTATTTTACAGGTAACACAGGTATATATTTTACAGGAATAGGATGGGGATGCAATCAGCAAAATAGTGTTAGAAAGTCCAAAGGACAAAGACTCAGTTTTTTCACAAGTAAATTACAAAGAAAAGAAAAAAAGGGGGCGCAGGGGGATCTATAGGTTAAATGAGACTTAAAAGATATATTAGCCTATTGTTAACATGGCAATACCCCCCGAATTGACCTACAGATTCAACACAATCCCTCTCAAAATCCCAGCTGTCTTTTTTGCATATATTGACAAAATGATCGTAAAATTCATATGGAAAAGCAAGGGATCCAGAATAGCCAAAACAGTCTTGAAAAAGAACAAAGCTGGAGGATTCACACTTTGTGATTTCAAAACTTACTACAAAGCTACAATAATCAAGACTGTGTGGTACTGGCACAAGGACAGATATATACATAAATGGAATAGAATTGGAAGTCCAGAAATAAATCCAATATTTGATAATATTTAAAAATTATTGTAATATTTTAGGTGTGATAATGGCATTGCAATTCTGTTTTTAAAAAAAAACCTTATTTTTTAAGGATACATACTAAAGAATTATAGATCAAATAATTTGATGCTGAGGTCTGGGATTTGCCTCAAAATATTCCAGCTGGGGAGGTAAAAATTAAACAAGATTGTATATGTGTTAAAAATTATTGAAGCTAGGTGATAGGGGTTCATTATAGTATCTTCTCCACATGTTTCAAATTATCCATAATAAAACTTATTTTACAAAAAGAATGTATTTGTAATTGCTCATAAATACCCAGAAGAGCTCTGGACAGATATATAAGAAATATATAACACTGTCTCTGGGAAGGAGAAATGGATGGGAGAGG